AGTTTAACTCTTTGAGTTTAATGGCGTAAAGAACCAGGATTGTTTACGAACGTGTTCGTCAAAGATGAAGCTTTTTTTATCTAATTGAAGAATGTGATGAAACTTTATAAAAGGACTTAAATGGTAGTAATGTTCATTTCCTGATGGTAACTCGTATTGGTTATGAATGATGAGTTGTTAATTATTATTAGTATTCCTAGTACAAAATTACGTCAAAATTTTATTCTATACTTTGTTTTTTACAGAAGAAAAGAGCTTAATATTTACATAAACAGATGGAGCTAAAATCGTTTGTTTTTTTGAAGTTAAGCATAAAGCTACAGAATGAGCTATCTGTGTTCTGCCCACCACGAGTATCGAAACCCGGTTTCTAGCGTTGTAAGTCCGCAGACATATCGCTGTGCCACTGGGGGGGGGGGCGCTAAAAACGTTACTGGCTGTTTTAATGGTTTTTAATGATACGTTAGATAAATTTAATGTATTTTTCTTTTCAATACATAGTTATTTATGTAATAAAACAATTGTAAACTTATTACCTAAATAATTTATAAACATGTGAGTTTGTAGACCTACATCCCTTTCAGCGAATTCTAGTCCTACATCCATTTTAGCGAGTTCTTAGTCCTACGCCGATTTAGCTATTTCCTTATTCTACTCCCATTTTAGCGAGTTCTTAGTCCTACACCAATTTAGCAAGTTCTTAATCCTCAATCATTTTAGCAAGTTCTTAGACGACTTCACGTACGACGAAACACTTTGTTTGGCTTGTGTTGAGCTCTTCACAACTGTCCATAAAACTATTTTTGCTTCTAGGGCTGAAATGATTCTTGCAAATTGGAAATTATTCATTATTCTGTTTTCTCAATTGTTATATAATATTATATAATTATATAGTATTAGTCTGCGGAAGTCCAAACCTATAGATCTTTTCAATCTTCAATATCCGTCATGAAAAAGGAACCTAAAAAGTGTGGCGTTCCTTTCATTAGAAATACACAAGGCTGTATATACAAGAGAAAAAAGTTTCGAACAAAAGAATATTCTTTGGTCAAAATAACAACCCAATCTATAGAAATATAAGAAACGCCCATTTCAAATGTATCTCTTGCTTCCTTCGTTTTAACTCTGTGGGAGTGACTGGGAAAAATAAACATTACGAATTTAACAAATACAACGAGATGATATGGCTGTTAGAATTAAATATTAGAGGCTATGTGTTCCTTTTCCTATTTGGTAAAGCCTAATTTTATGTTCATTGTGATAAAAAGAAAAGCTGCTAAGATATGTTTTCTCGATTATTACTGCTTTGGCCAGGCATGGCCAGGTGTTTAGGGCGCTCGACTCGCAATCTGAGGGTTGCGGGTTCGAAACCCCGTCCCATCAAACATGCTCGCCCATTCAGCCGTGGGGACGTTATAATGTGACGGTCAATCCCACTATTCGTTGGAAAAAAGGGCAGCCCAAGAGTTGGCGGTGGGTGGTGATGACTAGCTGCCTTCCCTCTCGTCTTACACTGCTAAATCATGGACGGCTAGCGCAGATAGCCCTCGTGTAGCTTTGCGCGAAATTCAAAACAAACTTAATAGTGTAAGCTCGAGGGCTTATAACGCCAACAATCGAGGTTCGATACACACTGTGGGCACAACGCAGACAACTCATTGTGTAGCTTTGTGCTTAAAAACAAACAACAATACTGTTGAGCTCAGGATACTAAAGTGATGCGTAGAAACTAAATATGTTGTGAATTCTGAGGATAATAATAATTCTGATCCCCCCCCCCCCAAAAAAAAAGTGAGGAAAATCTTCTGGTGGGAAGAACGCAAATAGCCCATTGTGCAGCTTTGTGCTTAACTACAAATAAACCATTGACGTTGTTTTTTTCAAAGTTCAGGCTTTGATTAGTACAAGCAGTAACCCTTAATGAGAACTTTCTATAGGTCTGATTTTCGAAGGTCTGTGTAATAATACTTAGGTTTAACATTGGGTTTACTACAGGTAAGATGTAACCTTGAAAGATAAGGCTTTAGATTTTTTTTTGCGATGTCTCTAACTGTAATGATGTTTGACACCAAGTGTATAACAGGTAAGCATATAGTTTTGATTGCTAACGATACAAATACCGAGCGAAAACTAAATATACGTATTAAATACCGTGTCTTTCATCAACCAGTTCTGGTATTGAACGAAAGGCCTCCTGGACAGTGTTTAGTAGTAGCAGACAATAAACGATCTGCAATCTAGTTAATATTGGTTATTACTTACGGAACATATTCCAAAACCCAGTGATTATAAGTCCTATGTAACAGTACCAATGTTTGATCACGGAATTATAGTGTACAGTGTTGGTTTCACACCTCAGGGTAGGGTGTCCAGCAAGTAACACATGACCTTGGTTGCTTACGCTAGCATTTTATTTTCAGCAGCTAGCGTGAAGGCCCTGTTTACAGTTGTGAAATTCTTAAGACCTAGGCTTATGGAGCTGTTTATAACTAAAGAGAGGTTGCTGTTAAAGCAGTAAGTGTGATAAAACATCAACAGCATTTTCAGCAACGTTCGTTTACAGGGGTCATGGTTTGCTAGTTTCGACTTTATCTTACGCCCTACACATTGGGTGTGCAGCAGCCAGTGTTTTGTGACCTTGGTAGTTACCGTCGCGAAAGAATTCTTTTCTAGAAAGATTCAATGGTTCTGGTTTCATGCCTATCGTGAAATGATATTGCTTTTAAAGATTTAGTCTAATAAGCTAGTCCAAATCTTATCAATCTAACGATACGTATAGAGAGTGCTGATACACTTATAAGATACAATGATATGTCGTGCTTGTAGTTATAATTTTTCTTTTATTTTGATTGAGCTTGTTAGCGTTGTAACTTGGTTTCTATAATTCTTGTTTGTTTGTTATGAATTTCGCGCAAAGCTACACGAGGGCTATCTGCGCTAGCCGTCCCTAATTTAGCGGTGTAAGACTAGAGGGAAGGTGGCTAGTCATCACCACCCACCGCCAACTCTTGGGCTACTCTTTT